AATGGTCCTCGATGAGCACCAGCATAGGGGAAGTCCACTCCAAAACACGGCTCAAGAAAACAAGATGAAGAAAATGGCAACGATGATTACAATGTGCGCTCCCCATTTTCCAAACACTTTGCAGCACGCAGCCCATGGTCTCTGCCACATTGTCGATGTACGCTATGCCCCCAAGCTTTACCTATGGGATTTTGTCTGTTGCCAGAATGTCGTAGAGATTTCGCCTTCGTCAGCGATGTACTCCTGTCTCCGGCCGGGGGCCGGCACTGCCGTAGCGCGTCCTGTCCTTCCTTCTCCACGTTCCGACACGGCGTTCCTTGGTCCTTGCCTTCTCACACGGTCATGCTTGATCCAATCCATTACCGGTTGTCCTTGATCATCTGGTTTTATTTTCAAGCCCAATGCCACTGTTTGATCTCGACCAAACGGCTGCGACCTGCCAGGCCGTTCGCTGGGGGTTCCTTCCCAGCGAACGTTCGCCGGTTAGCATTACCGTACATTATTTTGTTCTTCCGAGGGTGAGACGGGCCTTGACGCAGCGGCGGCATGGATTCTAGAAGGTTCCAGAAAGAGGTGCGCACAGGCAAAAAAAAATGTGATCATGTCCTTGTGGTCCGTGAAAGGGTCACGCGGTGGTAGCCAAGAGCAAGATCCAAGCACCCGTCGCATCGGCCGTATCGCCCGTGTCCTTAAGCTCATGGGGCTGAGTTAATTCACGTGGCTGTAACTATCGACAACTTGAGAGGACCGGCTCGCCATTTCGGTGATACAGTATATATTCCGAGTATATATCACCATGCATGACCATAGTAATACTTTTTTTTTAAATACGAAGTAAAATGAGTGAATCTACACTCTAAACAACATCTATACATTTGTATATAACCCATACTAAAATCTTTAAAAGAAGACTTATATGTAGAGAGAAAGTATATATTTCGGTGATATAGTACAAGCTGGTGGACATGCGATATCCAAGGGTAGATCATCATGGATGCCGAGTACCGTACCCAAATGGAATTACGCCCTCCGTTCCAAATTACTTGTCGCAAAAATGAGATGTATCTGAAAGGGGTGTTGAACACATTTGCGACGGCGACTGGACAACTCATAAACCCGTCGAAGTGTTCCATTCTTTTCTCAAGCCAGTGTCGTCCGGATGTTATTCAAGAGGTTAAACACACGCTGGATATAACCCTAGAAGCGTTCGAACCCAAGTACTTGGGCTTGCCGGTTCCGGAGGGGAGGATGCATAAAGGGAAATTTGAGACTCTCCAAGAGCGTTTGAGGAAAGTGCTTGTGGATTGGAGTGAACAGTACATGTCGTCGGGGAACAAGGAGATTCTTATTAAGTCAGTGGCACGGGCCATACCAGCATATGTAATGAGTGTCTTCAAACTCCCGGCTTCTGTTTGTGATGATCTTACAAGGATGATACGTTAGTATTGGTGGGGGGTAGAGAACGGCAAGAAGAAGATGGCATGGATGAGCTAGGATAGGCTGCGTCTGCCTAAACCCATGGGGGGCATGGGGTTTAGGGATATGAGGGCGTTTAACCAAGCGCTACTAGCTAAGCAAGCCTAGAGGCTCCTGGATAGACCAGATAGCCTATGTGCGCGGTTGATGAAGGCAAAATACTATCCTTCTGGTCAGCTTTTGGATACGGTGTTCCCGGGCTCTGGTTCTGAGGTATGGAAAGGTATTCTACATGGCCTTGCGTTGGTCAAGAAAGGCGTCATCTGGCGGGTCGGTAATGGCATGATGATCCGCACCTGGCGCGACCCTTGGCTGCCCCGGCCGTTTTCCTTCCGTCCGATAACTCCTAAGGGAAACTGTCGTTTTAACAGAGTCTCTGACTTTTTGGATGATAATGGTGCATGGAATCAGACTCGGCTGAGGGAGTTCTTTTGGCAAATGGATGTTGGTCACATCCTGAAAATCAGAACTTCGCCTCGCCAACGTGAGGACTTTTTGGCCTGGTTCCCGGAAAAGAGTGGGGGGTTTACGGTGAGGAGTGCATGCAAGCTGGCTACATATGATCACAATGTTATTACAGCAAATGGTGCCTCGAGTACTGCCCCAGATGGGAACCGGTCAGGATGGAACTACATCTGGAAGTCTAGGGTTCCTCAGAAAATGAAGATCAACGCATGGAGATGTGTGACGGGGACTTTGGCAACGCAGAGTTGCAAGGCATACAGACATCTGACGACACGATCAACCTGTCGGATTTGTGGGGTGGAGGAGGAGGACTCATTTCATGCCTTGGTGACTTGCTCACATGCACGTTTGCTCTGGATTAACATGCGCTGCCGCTGGCCACTCCCGGAGGATGATTTCTTAATCCATGATGGGAGAGAATGGTTAACTACTTTACTGGCGAAGTGCTCGACCGATGTCCGAGACAAGCTACTTATGTTTATTTGGCGGATTTGGCAGCTACGTAACGACCTGATCCATGGGAAGGAGATCCCTCCTATTCCAGCCACCGTTGAATTCCTTGACAGTTACTACAAGTCCATTAAGCTGGCTGCATGCTACACTACGGAGGAGATCATTAACGGAAAAATGTCAACCGGGGAGATGCCGATACCAGACCAAAAGGGCAGGGTCATATCGACTCCATGGCCGGCGCCTCAGCCAGGTAGGGTGGCTCTATCAGTTGATGGCTCGTTCCTGAAGGAGGATGGATCTGCTGCTGTTGGTATGGTGCTTAGAAATGACAAAGGAGATGTCCTAATGGCTGCCTACCGTTTCATCTTTTATTGCAATGACCCGCTGGAAGCAGAACTACATGCAATCATGCAAGGTTTGGCCTTAGCACTACAACACTCTGACTTGCCGGTGGTGGTTCAGACGGACTCGTCTGAAGCTTTGTCTAGCTTGACAAATGATGCACTTCTTCGTTCGGCGTATGGACAAATCGTCATGGAGATCAAAGCACTTCTTGGTACTGGGGAGTTTTTTCCTCAAGACTTTAAAATAGAGTTGCCGATCGGTTGGCTAAGTATAGCCGCACCGAGCGTGCCACGGCTGTCTGGCTGCGCTCGGTTCCACCTTATATTGAGGACTTGTGGCCTCTCGACTGTAACTCTATAACTCTTTAATAAACTCCCTTTACCCTCGCAAAAAAAAACTAAAATGCATCTAGATACATCTATATCTGCGACAAGTAATTCGGAACGGAGAAAGTAGTATCAAGGAAAGAACATGTCAGGATTACAAGTTTGCATGTGGAACATCTTGCATCTCATCGAGGTTGTGAGGAACTGTCTGTCCCCGGGCACGGTTGCTTGGAAGGCAAAACTCAAGACGCCGAGATTAAATGAGCACATATATCAGAAATGGTACGGAGTACGTACCAGAGAAGCACCGGAGGACATGTCAAGAAAAAAAGCTACCGAAGGAGAAACGCGTTGCTTTGGCAGGCGGATCGCAAATGGCGGAGATTAAATGAGCACAGAAATGGCGCGTAGCAGTGCCAGCGAAGTGCCCAAGGACATGTCAAAAGACGAGAAGTGCCGAAGGAGACAAACGCATCAACTTGATACGGGATACTGGACCACGCATGAGCACATGCACGGTGTACTGACCAGCGTTGCCAATACGCTGGGCAATTACGGCAGGAAGCAGTAATCACCAGCTGCCCAGTGCCCTAGAAGGACAGGAGATGTAAACTATAACATTTTCAGTCACATAATTACCACCGTTTATCAGCGGCGGTGGATGCCGGGGTGGAGGCCTCGGCCGGCGGAGCTGGTGGTGGCCTTCTCGTCATAGTGATGAGAGGTCAAGTGTGGCTGAGCATGGGGCGGCGTGCGGATATGACGGTCCTGACGTTGGTTGTCGTTGTATGGGCGACGACAATGGTTGGTGCGGCGGTGGGTGCTTCCTGGAGCACCCAGAATCAAGGCGGCAACCCCTCTTCTTCGACGGCGGCGGACTCCGTGGTCATGCAAGCGAAGCGGAGTCTGAATTTCGAGGTGGTGACGGCCTTCTGAGGCTGGTGGCAGCATGGGACGTCCCTTTCATCAACAGATCAAGTTCGATGCGGCTCAGAAGGTAACACATGCATCTCTTTCGGAGTCGTCGACCACTGCCTGCCGTCGGTAGGTGAAGCCTCCGGTGGATGCTACGCACGATGTCTCATGCGGGGACGTCAAGTCATGCCTGCTATCAGCACGTGCTGCACAGTGGCTCTGGCGAAAGTCTCATGTGCTAGCCTGTTGCTGATGGATCGAAGATGTTGCGACAATGGCGGGAGACAGACGATATGGGACATCTGTCTCCTGATGTCTTCTCCATAGGTATCCGATTATCAAGGCGTTGGTACTCGGATAAGGGAAGATGGTACATTCGGCTTCAATGGCGACTTTATGCACTCCAGTGAAAACACAAGATCTATAATCAGGCTATGTCGACGTGTGCCTGTGTCGGTGTCCTTGCTGATGGTGGTGGATTGAAGCTTGACTTTAGGGATGAGAATCCGAAATTCAACCATGTGTTGGACTCGCTATCATCGGCGCACGTACGATGATTCCTTCTTGAAGGCGTAACCTAGCAGTTGTGTATTTTTTTATTTTATTGTCGTCGTGTAACATAGGGTTAGTGGTTATGTGGTGGAGTTACTGTCGCGAGGCATGCACCCTTGGATTTTTCTTTTCGCTTTATTGCCGACTCGATGTTGTTCGGCTGCTCGATTTTGCATTCTTAATAACATATGGTTGTATGCATAATCCTGATGCAGAGGCTGGGGTTATCCTTTTAAAAAAAACTGCATTTCACAACCCTTGGGACAAAAAATCACATATTGAAACACAAACAGGTCAAACTGCACATTTATTGCTAAGAGAATCTCAGGCATATTGGATGCATGTTGGCCGGTGAATAGTGAAATGAAAAATGCTTTTAAAAAAAATACGAACTGGTGATTCATCGAAGCAAAGCCGCCGCGACTATACTTATTTAGCGTCAGCTAAACTCATGTCAGGATGCCTTGATCAGTCATCGTAATCATGGCGGCGGCGGTTGTTCCCGCGACGCTGCTTCCTCTCATCGTCGTCGTCGTCATCGTCGTCGTGCTTCTTGTAACGTGGCTTTCTATCATCGTCGTCGTCGTCGTCACGCTTCTTGTAACGCGGCTTCCTGTCATCCTCATCATCATCGTCGTCGTCACGTTTCTTGTACCGCGGCTTCCTCTCGCCATCGTCGTCGTCATCATCGTCGTGCTTCTTGTGCCGTGGCTTCCTCTCATCATCGTCGTCGTCGTCGCGCTTCTTGTATCGCCGCTGCCTATCCTCGTCATCGTCGTCATCCTACAAAGAAATACAGCAAAGAGATGATTCTCAGGGCAACGGAGTCAACGGTGTCCGTGGGCCCATCTCGCCAAGCATTCCGAAACGTAACAAAAGTCCGTGGCCGTGATGAGCACTCACATTCTTCTTGCGGCCGTAGCTGGGCCGGTCGTCGTCGTCGTCGTGCGCCTTCCTCCCTTGCCCGTAACCAGCAGAGGAGCCGTGTGTCTCCTCCGGCCTCCTCCCGTGACCTGCGGAGCCGTGGCTGTCCTGGTCCTGCGGCCTCCTGCGCTGCTGCTCGGCCGCGCCGTGGCTGTCGTACGAGGACGAGGAGGTGGAGGCGGTGGAGATGGGGTAGCAGATCTCGTCGGAGGGCGGGAGGGCGCGGCCGAAGGTGAGGGTGATGTCGTAGCCGCCGCCGTAGGGGGTGGGGTCGTGCTCGTCGAAGTCGGCCACCTCGTCGGCCTGGGCGCCGCCCCAGAAGATGCTCGCCATCCCGTGCGCACGTTCGTCCGCGTCTGCTGGAGGCTCCGGAGAGGGATCGAACGGGCTCTGCTAGCGCGGGAAACGCAGAAACGGGAAGAAGAAAGAGGATCGCGCGGGCCGCTCGGGGAGTTTCCACGGCTGGGAATCTGTCATGCCGAGATGGGCGCGGAAGTCGCGCGCGTTCTCTTTTTCCCGCCCGAGGATCGCGGCGACTGGCGGGGACCGATGGTTTCTCTCGCTCCATTTGCAGCTGCCTGACGACCGTCGAGATGTGCAGCAAACGGCACGACGCACGTACTTGTTGCCTGTAAATAGCAGCACAGCAGCAGGTGAGAGTATGCAGTGAAACACCGGAACCTGGGAACCGGAACAGATCACAAACTGAACAAGCTTTTCATCTTTTTCTTCCTTTTGGTTCTGACTGACACCTGACAGCATTACATTACATGTGTTGGCACATATAGCCACCATTTGGTGGAAACACAAGAGGGAAATGGAGGGGAGGAGAGGAGAGATGGTATGAGCAAAGCCCCCTGTTCCAACCGCCACGTCAGTTCCTTGTTCAACTGTTACATGGTCTGACAGTGTCCGTCTTCGTGAATGGATCGATGACAGGCGGGCTTAATACGGCTCATGCCACTGTTGGGACGAACTTACATCTTTACAGGAAAGCAAACGGACCAACATCACGCACGCTCTTTACTCTGCACACGCATTTGGTGTAGCTGTACAAAAAAACAATTCCTGTAGGTATGGACGCCGGGCAGCTGCTCATCTTCGTTTCACTTTTACCCGTCTGTTTGCTGTACTCTCTGCCTTGGTGCTTGGCTCGCGGGCAAGGGTTTCAGTAATGGTTTTAATGCAGCCATGATCTCCGCGAATGAAGGCCGCGCCCTTGGGTCCCTGCAGCAAATACAGGAGGCATGAACATTCAGACTACTAGGAATTGTACATTTGCCGAACAAGAATTCGGATGACGATTACGAAGGCACGATGTGCAATTGAAATTGCAACCGAGAGGATTAGGCATACTAACGTCTGCCAGCATCTTGTTATGATCTCTGCTACGGCGGGGTCGACGTTGTCTGGAATATCAAGGCGGCGACTCTGAAACCCAACTGCTCCAACGACTTGCATTGCGTTCATACCTTCCCAAGGCTGCTGTAGCGTACAAAGTTCCCACAGTATGACACCGTAACTAAAGACATCGCATCTGCCAACATACACAACCATTTCAGCAAGCACAAATTTATGTGAGACATGAATACATATGAACTGGGTTTTAAGCAGTAGACTGACTTCTCATCTGATGGTTCATTACGTAAAACTTCAGGTGCCATCCACTCCGCCTGCAAACCAACGCACACATTTAGTAATAAGTATGGTAGAGCACTTGAACCACCCAGATGCAAACAAGAACGCCTACATGTAACATAATCAAGTTTTGTTTTCCGCCAGTGTACAAGAATTATCTGATATAAGTGCAACAAAATTCGAAGACACTTAATCCCGTGCGCTAGCATAAGTACATTAGCGAACTATGTGACTACACCGCTAGGCGCTAGCTATTTGTGGACTTTGAACTAGAATACTTTAGTATAATAAAAGGGGTCACTTTTTCACAAAAATAAAAAAAATAAAGGGGGTCACTTGTGTGTGTTTTTAGCAATTGGCTTCCTCTGATGTCTTCCCAGCCGTTCAATGGCATTCGTTTATTAAGAGAGGAGAGAACGGTTTCCGGAACTGGAGAACTCGTACACTTCAACAAAATTTAAACATGCAGAAAGAAGTTCATCTATACTCTCCCACAGATGGAAATATGCAGTAGCTTAAAGCTTAAAGCACTGCTCACACAAAATAAAAGTTATACAGAAATTGCAGGATCATGCAAGCTTACTGTTCCAGCTGTTGATCTTGATGATAGGAAGGTATTGTTCTTCATTCTTGATAGGCCAAAATCACAAACCTAATTGCAAAAGGTTATATAGCTTGCAATAAAAACAGAAGACAGAATGCCATTGATATAATGGAACTTGTGTGTTACCTTCACAACCCAGTTCTTGTCAACCAGTAGATTTGGAGATTTCAGGTCTCTATGGACTATAACTGGTGTGCAATTATGCAGATAATTCATACCTCGTGCCTACAGACCGTCGCAATCAAGTTAGTAAACAATATATTAGCTGTATTTGTTGCCTGCATTTGTCAACAACTTACAGACAGATATATTTAAAGCATGTATTGGTCTTACCACATCAAGTGCCATTCTTAACCGCCTCTTTTCATCCAACAGGTTGTTAGGTCGATGAATCAACCGGAACAAGCTACCTCTGTAATACCAATAGCACACCTAGTAATTAGTAAATACTGTGAACTCGTTTAAAGAATGTTATTGAACTAAAGCGGACATAGTTACAGATGAAAGAGGGGGGGGGAGCTGTTACATGTGTTCTCTACTATTTATATCAGCCTCCAAATCGTTTCATGTTTATTTCTGAGCAGATAACTGTATCCTTAATAGAATCACTTGTCAGCAATCTAATGTGCGCTCCTTAAAGGGGGTTGCTGACGAGCATTCTGGAATGTGTGAGATACTTGTCTGTTCTCACTTAATGTTAAATTAGCTTGAGTTACAAACTGCTCTCACTTAATGTTAAATTAGCTCGACTTACAAAGCAAGCCAGGTTATTAAAACATTACATGATCGAGAAGATGAGATCAAAACAATGTGACCCAGAAAACATAGAACAAAATTATTGTCCGGAGCAAAATCATAACAAACTAATTATTCAAGAATTCGACACTTGTAAGGATAAATGATTGATTAATTCCTTTGTGCCAATTGCTTCAGCATTTTCCATTTTAACATAAAACAGTGAATTCTAGAAAATCCATGAGCAACATGCCGCGTATAAATTTAAGTAAACTAGTTCAAAAGAAGTTGTCAGAAAAGAAAAACATCTTCATGATACGTCAAACTTTGCATCAAATGGTCAAGTGGCGTGATGATCTTATGATGATAAACATAAGTCTCAAATAAAAAAAATTAAACCAACAAAGCTACCTTGGAAGAAATTCGGTGACAATGGAAAGATTAGGCACCCGAGTGATAGCACCCATGAAAAGAACAACATTAGGATGACGTAACCGCTTCATTATTCGCACCTAGACATGAAGCAATTATCAGGATAACTGCATAAGAACAAACTTATTAAACCATTACTACACATGAAGGAAACAAACTGTGGTCAGGCTACTGACTTAATTTCTAGCAATAGCCTGCTTGAATTTGCACTCAATTAGTATGAATCTGTTGTCGAAAGTAATTATCTAGAGAATATGGTGTAAACTCAACCAGTAAATCTACCATTACACATAATTTCTACTGCAATGCAGTACAATTTACAACAGCGCAGAAAAAATATGATTACTTCACAGAAACCTCGACGTTTGGCTTACAAAATGCACACTCAGAGTGCATATGAAAGCCGACAGCACTGTACAACAGACATCAGGACATACTTACATAGGCATAATAAACACCAACAAAACCGACATCACTGTACTTACATCTATTTATGCCATTTCAAATATAGAAAGCAGTTTACCTCAGCTTTAAATTCATCCAGAGCATCGCTCGAAATATCTTGTTGCAAAAACTTCTTGACTGCAACTTCCTATAGGCAAAGCAACTTATTATTCTTTAAAAATGGCATTAAACAGAATATAAAAATTAAAGGGATTGCTAAATGATTAACACAACTACGCTTATGTTGTTTCAACATAGCCGGTCCCAAGCCCGGGTAAAGGAGGAGGGTTGTGATAGGCTTGGCGAACCAACGTAAAAACTCAGCCACTCTTATGGAGATGAAACCCAAAATATTTTCGTAGGGAAAGAAGGCGAAGGAGGTGGAGGATACTGGCTTCAAGTTGTGGTACATGGGGACGGCTGCAAACAGAAATGGCGTAAGGTATCTTGATCAACAAGAGCCTCAGGTATGGAGTGGTAGACGTCAAGAGACATGGGGACCGGATTATCCTGGTCAAGCTGATAGTTGGGGACTTAGTTCTCAATGTTATCAGCGCGTATGCCCCGCAAGTAGGCCACAACAAGAACACCAAGAGGGAGTTCTAGGAAGGCCTAGAAGACATGGTTAGGAGTGTACCGATTGGCGAGAGGCTCTTCATAGGAGGAGACCTCAATGGCCACATGGGTACATCTAACACAGGTTTTGAAGGGGTGCATGGGGGCTTTAGCTATGGTATCAGGAATCAAGAAGGAGAAGATGTCTTAAGCTTTGCTCTAGCCTACGACATGATTGTAGCTAACACCCTCTTTAGAAAGAGAGAATCGCATCTGGTGACTTTTAGTGCCAACACTCTAGCCAGATTGATTTCATCCTCTCGAGAAGAGAAGATAGGCGTGTGTGCCTAGACTGTAAGGTGATACCTGGAGAGAGCTAGACTTTCACTTTCAGATTTGTGACCAGTGGGATAAGCGTGCCAAAGTCGCTAGAACGAAGTGGTGGAAGCTCAAGGGGGAGGTAGCTCGGGCGTTCAAGGAGAGGGTCATTAAGGAGGGCCCTTGGGAGGAAGGAGGGGATGTGGACAATCTGTGGAATGAAGATGGCGACTTGCATTCGTAAGGTGGCCTCGGAGGAGTTTGGAGTGTCCAGGGGAAGGAGAAGCGAAGATAAGGACACCTGGTGGTGGAATGATGATGTCTAGAAGGCGATTAAAGAGAAGAAAGATTGTTTCAGACGCCTATACCTAGATAGGAGTGCAGACAACATAGAGAAGTACAAGATGGCGAAGAAGGCCGCAAAGCAAGCTGTCAGTGAAACAAGGGGTCGAGCGTATGAGGACCTCTACCAACGATTAGGCACGAAGGAAGGCGAAAGGGACATCTATAAGATGGCCAAGATCCAAGAGAGCAAGCCGAGGGATATTGGCCAAGTCAAATGCATCAAGGACGGAGCAGACCAACTCTTGGTGAGGGACGAGGAGAT